CAATAAATTCCAGTGTATTTGGGGTCCCGCATGTGGGTTCTGAACGATTGTGTGTGGGGAGCTGGTGGGATGGGTTGTGGACTCCTCTGCTTTGCTGCGGGAGGGATCAGGGAAGGACAGGAAACTCACAGGGTGGCCTGCATCTCAGGCTGGCAGAGACCATCATACCTGGATTCTGGACAACTAAGCCCTTGAGGGAAGAAACAAATCTGAGGACTAAAATGATGTGAGCTGCAAGCTCCCACTATCCAGGAAGGCAGCCCTGGAGCCCATTTAGCCTATGGTATCAGAGAGCCAGGGGCATGTGTTCTCCGTGGATGCCTAAGGTGGATGGTCTTGTGTGGTACCAGAGGCTGGGATGTGTCAGGGGTGAGGAGAGACAAGCCATATCTGGTTCCTGGACCTGGTGTACACAAAATCCAGTTCCATTTCTCACAAAGGGAAGTCACCTGTGGAAATGCATCCTTTCCAGATCTGCTTGTGGCTGGGGCCCAGCTTGCCAATGCCCCTGGTGTTATTTTTCAGAGAAAAGTGGTGGTGGTCTCCATGTATTCTTTATTGAGGCCCACTTATAAACACTTGCGAGGAGAACGCTGGCTTGTGATTTCAACTGTAGTGTCCACACCCACCTAGAACACTACACAGGCTAGCAGCAAACAAGGTTATTTGCTGGTTCTAAAGGTCTGGCCCTTAAGAGACATTGCTAAGAACACCGTGTCCATCAACAGAGTGTTTGCAAAACACAAATATAAATCTACTGCAACTGAACTTGGGAGCCAAGGATATTGGAAGCAGTGTCGGGGTCTGGGATCTTCATGGGATTTATTGTACATAGAAGGATGCCAGGCAGGAAAGACTTATAGAAGGCCGTGGCCTGGGTCTCTCTGATGGATGAGCATCAAGACACCTCCACTGACACCTCATAGGAGACCAGAGCGCTTGGTGGACTGGACCTGATTTAGAAACATGGGTCGGAGGAGGGTAGTGGCTTCATCCTGTGATACTGTGCACTTTGGGGTGTCTTCTGAACCCCTGAGGTTGGGTAATCCCATAGATGCGAGGAGAAAGACCATCGACCCATATCATCTCAAATTCTATCTTTTTTTTTTTTTTTTTTTTTTTTTTTTTTTTTTTTTTTTGCACCTTGTCCTTGGATTTGTCTATATAATTTTGGTTTGTCAACTTCCTGGTCTAGAATGTCCTCAGAAGGCAGACTGAATGAGGCACTTCGTAATGGCCCAGAGACTTGCCTGCTCCCGAAAGCTGGCCTACCAGAATCTGTCTCCAGGAAACTGCATGAGCTTACCTTGCAAGTTTGCAGGTACCTGATGCAGAGTGCCTGCTTGACTCCATAGTGAAGAGGTGTGATGATGATGGTTGTGGTACCTGTAGACTTGATAGAGTTAAGAACAGCTGAGAGGTGGCTCTCTGGACATGTCTGTGGGAGATGGATGTGGAAGGCCTGTCTTACTTGAGGGTGGGGCCATTCCCTGGCTGGGATCCTGGATGGTGGAGAAAGGGAGCTCTAACTACTTATGCAAATACTGCTCAGCTTCTGACTGGGGCATGTGTCACCTGTCCCTGCCTTGACTTCCTCACTGTGGTGGATGGTGTCTTGAACTGTGAGCTAATACAAACCCTTCCTCTCTTAAGTGGCTTTCCTCAGAGCACTTTATTGCAGCAATAGGAAAGGAAACAAAGACGCTAGGCAGTAGGAAGCCCAGTGCAGCCCTGTTCTGAGGACATTCGAAGAAGAGTTCCTTGAGAAGAGACAGCAAGGTTCAAAGGCAACAGTGTTTCCCGTGAGATGAGTCTCTGGGGGCCGAGGGGAGTGAGGGAGAGTTCAGAAGCCCCATCTGTGCTGAGTGGGGGTGGGGGCAGCTGAGGGTGGGGCTGGGCTGAAGCGTGAAGCTGCAACTACAGAGAAAGGGAGTGAGACAGAGCTGGAGTCACAGAGAAGGGCAGAAGGCTCCACTTCGTGCCTGCCTGCCCTGCACTTTCACGGGAGGAAGCAAAGAGCTGCTATTTCCATGGTTGGCTGCAGTTTGCACTTGCGGCTTTAAGGCTGTGGTTCTCGGTCACCCACATCCTTGTGTGCAGTCTCTCTCTGAAAGCCCCTCTGGCAGCTGTAGTGCCGTGGGCCAGAGGAAGGGTTCTGGAGGTGTTTCTGACAGTTATTTCCTAGACAGGTGTGAGGATACACTGTTGCCCCCCTGCAGAGCAGCCCAAGAGGTGCCTCCAGGGCTGGGAGCTCAGGGCAAAGTATGGGAGCCTGTTCTGAGAAGTAGAGGCCAAAGGATACAAGAATTTTACATGAAAGGAAACAAGTGGGGCAGGACATTTGGCTGTGCAGGTGACTCTTAGGAACTATCACAAGGAGTGAGGATTTCAGCCGGGAATTGGGGCGGTGGGGTTGAGAGTCTGGGGAGGGAGTTGGCTTTTCCTACAGCCTAGGTTCTTAGACTAGCAGTTCTCAACCTGTGGGTCATGACCCTAGTAGGGGTCATATATCAGGTACTCTGCATGTCAGATAGTTACATTCAAATTCATAACAGTAGCAAAATTACAGTTACGAAGTAGGAATGGAAATAATTTTAAGGTTGGGGGTCGCCACATGAGGGACTGTATTAACAGATCGCGGCATTAGGAAGGTCGAGAGTCACCAGTCTAGACAGTCAGCATTCTCCTCAGTGTGGGGCTGCTGACTAGTCGCTGGTTCTGGGTATTGGGTTCTTTTATACCCCGACTTTCAGTCAAAGCCCTAGATCTGTGCTATCCTAGAGGATTCAAAGTCTGGTGTTCCTGTCTGCATCTGGAGTGGAACAGCAAGATGGATGTGCTGGTGGGCCAAGCGTGGGATGTTCTAGCATAACTCTGAAGGACTAGACTCCAAAATGAAGGCAGCAGCAGGACTACACACTGAAGGATTAGGGGAGGGTCCTTCCTGGTCTCGTCTAGCTCCCGTGTTGGCTGGCCATGGTGGTCAGTCTACGCTAATGTAAGCGCATTTAGTTGTGTCTGTCTGTGAGCAAGTTTCCAGAGAGAGCTAGAGTCCAGGAGGAAGAGTCATCCTGACAGTGGGAGGCAGCAGCCCATGTTATAGGGTCCTGGACTGAATAAAATGGGGGAACAGGGGAAGGTGAAGTGCCATCAGCACCCATATCTTTTTTGTTTCATTACTGTTGATTCATACAATAGGATGCCAACCGCATACTCTGGCTCCCACGGTTTTCCCTCCATGATGGACTGTGTCCTCAGACTGTGAGCCTTCCTTTCTTCCTTTAGCTGCCCCGCTCCCATTCTTGGTCACAGCAAATGAGATAAAGAAGGTGTACACAGACATGTGGTGCCTCTTGGCCTGCAGTGGCCTCACCCTACTCCGTCTCTGCTGACACGTCGCTTCGCCTATGAGTCACATCCAAATTTTCCTCTTCTCATAAAGACATTCGTCTTACTGGATCAGGGCCCCTTTTTAACAATAATGGTCCCTTTTAACTCGTTGTCATCCATGAGGACTGTATCTCCAAATGAAGTCACCTTCACGGGCTCCAAGTATTTAGAACTTGGACACTTGTGCTTCCATGACAACATAGCTTACCTCACTGTGGATGCCAGATGTGAGTGTCTACAACTCCACAGCCGCTGAGGATCTTTGAAGAGATTTGGGCGGCTGTATTTCTGGGAGAGCTATCGGCGGTCTGTGAGATTATGGTCTGGGTATTTTGTTAGGCTGTTACAGGACAAGGTGACCCCGGATGAACTCAAGGCCATTCTAGCTGTGTGCTTGTCCTGAATGATCAGTCCTCGGCGGGCTGTTCATCAAGTGCATTACCTAATGTCACTGGTACCATGGCCAAGTGTGTGTCATCCTGCAGGATTCAAGAGCTTGTCTGGGGCCAGATTGGGAGTTCTGCACACAGGGCCACGTTGAACAAATGCTTCGATGGCTGCAGGGTTAAGACAGTATCTACAGGGCTCAGAAGGGTATCTGTGGTGCTCTGCAGATCAGCCTCCTTATTCCACCAAGATTTGGTTAGAGAGAGAGAGAGAGAGAGAGAGAGAGAGAGAGAGAGAGAGAGAGAGAGAGAGAGACATAGTGCCCTCGGTTGGCAGTTGCTGTGTTTTGGACCTGGGTCACATTCCGATGTCTGTTTGATCATAAACACCTGGTCCCTAAAGCAGCCGTAGCTCATTTCATTTTTAAAGACTGGGTTGGCAAATTTAAAATTCAAATTCATAGGAACAGCGGGGAGAGAACGTAGCTATAAAAGTGTTTCAGACTACAGTGTTTTAAATGAAGGTTAATTTTCTGATAAAGTGGGAAATGAAGGGAAAATTATCTCCCGGCACGCAAGCATGGTTTAGAATACTATAGCTCAATTTGATGTTCTGATTGTGCAAACAATCAGCCTGGTGGCTTGTTAAACTTCATCGTCTTTCTTTCTTCTTCAGATTCTGAAGCTTTTCTCTTCTAAGATTAGCAGGGGTATTAAGGCTACCATGGATGAAGGATCCATCTGAGCCAGCAGGAAGATGATAACCCGAGAGGATTCAAAAACTAAACGAAAATCTCACCGTGTAGCCAACCTTATTAGAAAAAGTTGTTCCGCATGGAAATGGACTCCCAGGCTGCAAGCAGAAAAGTTATTATTCTTTGCTCTCCTTGCCCAAGACATTGAGCCCCTTTTGCTCAGTGGATTTTGCTTTGTACAGGCGGACATGAACCTCAGCCGCGTTAGCAGTCTCACAGGCAGTATCATTGAAGGCAGTTTCTGGGGGATAGAAGAGTGACATCCTAAGGGCTAGGTTGAGAGAAAAGACAAGACCCACAAACTGTGCGATTGTTTCTACAAATCAAATTTGATGCTAGAGGTTCCAATAGCGTATGTCGTCCTCATTTGTTCCAGAGTCTTTTTTACGTATACTCACTGGGCTCTGTATGCAGAACAAAGAGATGGGCTAACATTCTTGTTTGCATATTTTCTGCTTCTAGGGCCGGTAGTTAAATGTAAGACTAAGTTGACAATCTGGGCTTTGTTCACAAGAATGCATGCATCGTCTTGGTGAGTTGTTCGGTTCATCCATGACTCTTTCCCCTTTCTTTCCTACTCTGTGTTACTTTTTTCATCCCCTTGTCCCCTGTGGCAGTATGTCCCCAGACACACACCTCCCTAGGATAGTTCTAGCATGTTCAGCACCTGGCCTTTGTGTCCCTATCCTACCCGCAGGCCACATCCCCTCTTTGACTTACTGGGTCAGCCTAGGGCAGCCTGAGAATCCTGACCTATCCTCTCTGCTATGTGCCGGTTTCAAGGTCCCTGGTCTTTGAACTCTCTCCCTGACATTTTGTGGACTTTTACGTTAAATGAGTAAAGATGTGTTGCATCTGTTTGTGCTGTATTTGTTTAACTATGTAAAGATGTATTGCTGGTTCACCTTGCCTGCCTAAGGCACCTGATTGGTCTATATATAAAAAGCTGAACAGCCAATAGCTAGGCTGTGGGGAGGGGGATAAGTGAGACTGGCAGGCAGAGAGATTAAAAGAACGAAGGGCCGAAGGAGGGAGAGAGGAAGATGTTTGGGGTGGGTCAGGCAGCCGCCAGGCAGCAAGACACGGAGTAGAACATAGAGAGAAAAACCCTCTCCCAGAGACAAAAACGTGGATGAAGAGGAACAGGTTAAAAGAAGTTTTAAGAGCTAGCAGACTAAGCATAAGGTAAGGCCGAGCATTTATAACTAATATTAAGTCTCCGTGTCGTGACTTGGGTCTTTGGTTGGTGGTTCAAAAGAAAGTATGTTACCTTGACATCCAGCCCTCCGTCCCCAGCCCAGGTGTCCCTACTCGGCCTACTCTTTGTCTCGCCCCTCAGCTCACATGCAGCCCCACACTGTCAGCCCTAGCCTTGCAGCTTTCTGGCTGTCTCCACCTGAACTATCATCACGGTCAGGTGTGCCCTGGAGGCTCCACCAGGTAACAGCCAACAGCATTCTTGTGGTTTAATTGCTCTTTGTGAAAATAACTTCTGAATATTTTTGAGAAACTCCAAAGGACACACACACACAGACTCGATTTTCTCTTTTCTCTTCTCTTCTTAACTTCTCTTTTCTTCTCTTTCCTTTTTTAACTTCTCTTTTCTTCTCTTTCCTTTCCTCTCTCTCTCTTTCTCTTTTTCTGAGACAGGGTTTCTCTGTGGCTTTGGAGCCTGTCCTGGAACTAGCTCTTGTAGACCAGGCTGGCCTCAAACTCACAGAGATCTGCCTGCCTCTACTCCCGAGTGCTGGGATTAAAGGCGTGTGCCAACACTGCCTGGCTGAGACTTGGATTTTGAAGATGACACATATCTTCTCTGAAATTCCTAGAAAATTGGCCTGATGGTCCTGAAAAGTATGTGGCACTTAGGATGCTGGGACAGAGGCTGCTATGTTCTAATCTCAGGTGGGGCTCGGGTCTACCAGGCTGAGTCGAAGACATTTTTGGTAGACTAGTGACCAGTAGTGGGACAGATTCTGTCTTCTTACTTTGGGTCATTACGATGAATCACTGAGAAACAAGATGGTACATTGTATCTAGAATTGGAGTCAGGCACAGCGTCATTCTGTGTCCTTCACCAACAGTGCACCATTTTCTGAAGTAGACCCGGTTTGCATTTACTTTCAATTGTGTGTGTATGTGTGCGCGTGCAAACACAAATGTGTGGGTGCTCACGTGATGATGTGCATATGTAGAAATAGGGGGTTAACTTGCAGGAGTTGGTTCTCTCCTTCCTCTATATGGATTCCAGGACCCAAACTCGGGTCCTCGGACTTGGTGGCAAGTACCTCTACCTGATGAGTCTTTCATCTTCCAGGCTTTACTTATTTACGTTTTTGAGACAGGGTCTCCTGTCATCCAGACTGACCCCAAACGTGTGTGGTGGGCGATGACTTGGAACTCCTGATCCCTCCTGTTTCTGTTCCCCAAGTGTTGGGATTGTAGGGGCATACCACCTCACCCAGCCTTCCGTTTATTGTTGACTGAAGAGCGTCACTCACAAAGCGAATGTTCCAGTTGGGTTGCCCTCATGGTATGCTTGTCACTGTTTTTTTAGCGGTAAGAGCCAGGAATAGCTATGAACTCTGGGTATCTTGTGTGTAAAATGGAGGTTCTAAGAAGCAACATGAAGTTACAGGGAATCCGCTGTGAACTGATGCTTGGGAATATCTGTGCTGTCTTGGTTAGTATCAATGGCTCCCTAAATACCTTATTTGAGCAGATGCGGAGATCTGAAGGCCCAAGTGTCATGCGGTGGGCATTTGACCAGAGAGGCCTCATTAGACTCAAACCCAGGTTTGTGCATGTTAACAAAGTCAAGGCTTCCCCTCAGGAACCCTCCCATAGTACCTTGTGTCTGGCGCACAGTGGGTAGATCTGTGTGTGGCCCCGAGCCTTCAGGACTCTGAGTTGTCTGTAGTGGTCTTGGGGACCTCCCCCAGTTATGCCACATTACCAGGGGCTGTGGAAGGTTGTCTTGTCAGGGTCACCTGACCTGGCAGATGTATTTCTATTCCAAATACATGTTGTTGTTTCTAAAGTTTGAGTTTTCAAAGGACTTTATAGACCTAGCCGTAAAATCCCATAAATTAAATCAAAATCAGTCACATTTATGATGGAGTTTGTGAAGAAAACAACAAAGCCTGCAAGTGTTACAGATTTATGGCTCCGTGTTCACATTCAGCTGTCCGCTGCTTCTGCTTCTAGGGCTTTCTGTGCTGTGTGGGGCAAAATTTATATTTGTGAGTGAGATCATTATAAATCTTTTATGTACCACAAGTGCAGTTTTAAACGTTAGCAGGCATGCAGAACTAGACCCAGGAGGTACCTGCTGTATTTCATGGATGCGACTCTTGCTGTAACCGGCAAAAACTGAAACTCTCAAAATCTCAAACCCAGACTCAAATGCTGAACTTTGTGCTTGCATCTGACTCTCACTGGAGAGGCAGGCTTTGGATGGAGCTTGATGCTCGGGATGTTGTAAAAAAATCTCTTTCCTCCCCTTTGCACCCTGACATGTTCTGGGGATGGAATCCACAGCCTTAATGTAGTCTGGGCAAGCATCCTGCCACTTAGCTACATTCTCAGCTCTAAAGTTAGTTTCTTATACTGTTTTGCTGTTGTTGGTGGTGGTCCTTCCTTCCGTCCATCTGTTCATCCGTCCTCCCTCCCTCCCGTTCGTCCTTCCTCCCTTCCTCCCTCCCGTTCGTCCGTCCGTCCTTCCTTCCTTCCTTCCTTCCTTCCTTCCTTCCTCCCTCCCTCCCTCCCTCCCTCCCTCCCTCCCTCCCCCCCTTCCTTCCTTCTTCCTCCTCCTCATTTGACAGGCTAGCCTGGAACACACTGTGTCACCGATGTCGGCATCATACTGGAGGCTATTTTCCGGTCTTCCTGACGACCTTCCCAGTGCTGGGATTTCTGGCATAAACTACCTTACCTGGCAGTTATATTGTTTCTGTTAAAAAAAGACAGCCTTCATGGGTGATTGTGGTAACCTATGTCTCTAATTCTAGCACTGAGGGTGTAGGGAAAAAAAGATCAGACGTTCAAGGCTGCCTCAGACTACTTAAGACCCTGTCTCAATAGAATAAAAATAAACCAAAATAAAATAAAATAAAAGTCTTCAGGCATAGCCATTTTCTAAATGTCCACCCGAATCTCTGGTCATTTTCTTTGGTTGGAAAAATTAGTTCTTCCTGGGCTGAGGAGATAAGTTGGAGAAATGCCTGCTACAGAATCCCAGGGACCTGACTTCCAACCCAAGAACTTGTGAAGAAGGCTTGGTATAGGCACAGTGGTACATGCTTGTATTCCCAGCATCGGGGAGACAGAGACAGGAAGATCCTAGAGACTCATTGGCCAACCAGCCCAGCCCAAATGATGTGGTTCAGGAAAGTGAAGAACAGTCTCTCAAACAGAAAGACAGACAGCTCCTGAGGAGTAACGTTGAACTCTACATACATGTACATATATGGGTAGCTTTATAAACACACACACACAAAAAAGTACAGTAAACTGTTTAACAGATCTAGAGGCCATTGTTCTTGACCTGTCAGCAATGTCACCTCTCTGTGCTGTAGTCTCCTTCCTGGCTTTGGTTCTATCTTGGGACTCACCCGCCCCTCTTTCTTGAACCTCTGTTCCGGCTCCTGAATTCATTCCTGGATCCCCTACGTGCAGCAAGCACCAGCACCCTCCTCTTAGGGTCTTCTAACAGAATCAAAGGAGCACAGTTTGCTGACGTAAAATTCTGCTTTCTGAGCCGTCATGTGTCTCGATTGCGGGCTCACGCCTGGTGTGTCCAGCAGGTGCGAAACCAAGGCCAAGCAGCCCGTTCTGTCACGGGAGAGAAGAACACATGTCAGTGTGGAGGAGACAGCAGGACAGGCGCCCGGGGAGGGGCCTAGGGTGTCTCCAGTGGAATAAATTATCTACAAGGGCTGTGGTTAATGCTCGGCCTGAGCGAGCCCCACGCAGCTGGGACACTCTGTACTTTTGATCTGGCCTTTCGAGCTTGGGTGATACCAGGAAATTGCCTGTAATGGACTGGAGGCTGCAGTATACAAAAGGAGAAGGGATTGTTATATTTATTAAAAAAACCAACAATGGGGGACTACTCCCCTCCCCCCCCTTCCCACACCTTCTTTGTGCACAGAGTCCCAGCTTGGCTCCAGCAGAGGGAGTTGGGGAACCAAGACTGCGTGCCTGGAGCTCAAGGGAGGACTGTTTGGCCGCACTCTGATGAGGTTGTGGGCAAGGACCTTTGCTGAGCTCGGAGGCATCCTGGCTGTGACAGACAGCCACGACTCATGTCACTGAGTCATCTCTAGCCACCCAGTCATCTCAGCCACAGGAAGCTGGGCACCTGCTCTCCTCTTTTGAAAGTAGCCAGTGGTGGGAGGGGGTGCTGTGGGCGGCGGGGGATGTTCAGTTGATTGTGTACGCACGGCCACACCCCACCATCAAGCATGGTGGATGCGTAAGCAACCTCAGAAAGGCACTACAGTGTTCACCCTGTCACCAGAGGACTTGAGT